CTCCTTGCTCCAACTTGAAAATCACTGCAGGTTTGGCAATGCTTTGTCCTGTTAATAAAGAGCAATGTGGAATTTTGCCAAACTATTCTTGTAAACTATTTTAAGAGTAACAACAGTTCAGTTTTATCAGCTGTGCATGAAGGGGCTGATTTTTGCATTTTGTTAAAGAGGAGTGCCACTCACATTAAGCACAGAATGAAATATCACTCCTAAACAGCATTAAAAATTATGAAACTCTTGCACATTTACTATGAAAGGAGAAAGTATATACTTCAGAGATCTTCTTGAGAGTTCACTAACCCAAATACACCAGGTTGCTGTAGGTCTCCAGCATCACGTCCTTGTATAGAATCTTCTGAGCATCTTCCAGCTTCTGCCACTCCTCCCAGGTAAAGTCTATAGCAACTTCATCAAATGATATGAACCCCTGTAAAAATACATATCCCTTCATCAGCCCTGAGAAATAGAGCATAACATGGAAAATTTACTTTCTCGTATATATATGGTTGTTTCTCTGTATATTTCTGAGCTCTTTGTAAAGGGAGAAAAAAACAAAGTACAAACATCCTATTTCTATGCTAACTTACTCATTGCAAAATTTATTACAAGTATTTCCTCAGAGATCTCCAAATGTTTTTGCTGCAAAGGATGAAAGCATAATAAATATTCTGCTATGTCAAGGTATTTATTATCTCATACAAACACCATAGGTAGAAATACATATCTGGAGTAATGTGTTAGATTAAGTAAGTTAGACACAAGTTTATGGTAACCAGTCAAAAAAAAGGTGTTTTTTTGTTTATTTTTTTTTCTGTATCATCAATTTGTGCTTCAAGTCAATGATGTGAAGAACATGTATGTAAATGTTTTTATGAAAAGTATATTCCTAGTATTAACGGAAGTAGAAACAGTATACCTAGGACAGTATTCCTGGTCTGCGATGAAAGACAAGGTCAGTAAAGGTGTTCAAGGAAGTGATTGCAAAGTGATTTTGTATGTAAATACTTAACCTAATTCCAATAAAATATTTTATGTGGATACTGTTAATCTCATAAGTTGAAGTATATTTACAAGCATCTTTATACTACAGTTGTGCATTAAAAAATATTGAATGTGACTTTTTCTTTATTTCCCTCTCTCCTTCTTTCTTTTCTATTATCTTCTCTTCTTCTTTTTTCATCTTGCCAGAGGGACTACCTAGGTCTAGAATTAGAGATCTAAATTTTTCTAGTCATATATAGTTATATTGCTCCCCGCCTTACATGGAACCAACTCCAAAAAATGAGATTCTGCTCATCAGACAGCTGATTATAGTATCTTTTTTGAGACCACATTACTAAAAACAACAGAACAGAGACATTAGCAGATGTCAATTCCCAGCAAAAGGGAAAGACACTCCTAGCCAGTGAAACATTCACCTAACAGGTACTTAAAAGTTAGTACATCTTCCAGTGGCTAGAAGTAGAAGAGCCTCCGGTATGAATAAACAAGGAAATATATCTCCATCAAAGGTACAGAGTGACTGCCCTCCATCTTGAGGGCTAATGGACGACGTTACCAAGATGTCAGACAAAGAATTTCAAACATTTATGGTGAACAAATTCTTCAAGTTGAAACAGAAAAGAGACAACAAACTAAAGGAAATGAGAAAGTCATTCCAAGATATGAAAGAAGAAATGGTCACTCTGAGAAAGAACCAGATGGAGTTATTAGAGATAAAGTGTGGAATAGAGGAAATCAAAAACTCCCTTCAAAGTATTAAAAGTCGAATAGATCATGCTGAAGATCGAATCTCTGATGTAGAAGATAAAACCTCCCGACCTAGAAAGAACCACAAAAAAGATAAAGGAAATAACTAAAAAACACGAGGATAATATACAAGAAATACTAGATTCCATAAGATGCCCAAATATCAGAATAATTGGCATCCCAGGAGGTGAAGAAACCAATAACGACATGGAAAATCTATTCCACAAAATCCTGGAGGAAAATTTCCCGAGTCTAGAGAGGCACTCAAGCTTAAAGACCCAAGAAATATAAAGAACCCCAGTTAGAATCAACCCCAGAAGATATTCTGCAAGGCACATTGTAGCCAGACTATCCAAGACCACAGATAAAGACATGATACTAAAACTGGCAAGAGAGAAATGAGAAGTGACGTACAAAGGTCATCCCATCAGGCTAACTCCGGATCTCTCAACGGAAACAATGCAAGCAAGGAAAGAATGGGAAGATGTATTGAAAGTGCTAAGAGAGAAACAATTTCAACCAAGATTATTGTATCCTGCAAGATTAT